GAGTTGTATGTGCCCCTAATGAAACTATTAAAAAAAAAAAAAAAGTTGTATGAGCCCTTAATAAAACGATTAAAAAATTGGCAAATGATACAAATGGGACATTTATATGGCTATGAAACATAAAAATATATAATCACAAATAAAACCATAATGAAATATCATTTCACACTTACCAGATTTGTATATTTAACCACCACCATTAATGGTGGATTGGTTAACTGTGGTGTTACCTGTACACCTCACACAGCTGAACAAAACACAGGAGATGGAGCTACAAAATTGTACTATTGTGCAAACTGGTCAAATAACAGAAAACCACTTCAAAGAATCAATTTATATAAATCAAAAAAACAGATGACATTACACTGATGTTCATTTAATGCCCTCTTTTTGTCAATGTAAAATTTTTTGAAGTTTAGAAAGTGTTCTAAAGTTCCTTTGTGTGTAAACAGTTTCAATTCTGCAAATGGTGAAATCTAAGTGTTTACTGAGCACTCATAGGCAAGATACTGTGTTTGTTGCAAGGTGATTTTTTGGGGAGTGGCGCTTGTGACAGTTACTTTCATTTATCCTTTTAGTCATAATATAAAACATATGATGGATAGGTTTAAAAATGGCTAAGACAATCTTTGTTTCCTTGAGGGTATGGGTTAGCTGAAAGAGAAAAACTACCTCCATCAAAGCTATTCCTCTCTTAGAGCCATCTTGGGACACTGAGAGGAATCTTGGGACCAATGGAAGAGAACATTCAAGATCTCCATGTGAAGTCACAGAGGCTGAGAGCAGAGATACCGGAGATTGTGACACAGAATCTATGAGACAGAGTAAAAGAAAGAGCTAAGCCAAGACCAGTGGAACAGTGTCAAGATTGTGACTTTGAGACAGAGCAAAAGGCAGGCTACCTTGTCTATGGAAGAAGAGGCAATGTGACCATGTGGCTAAGGATCATAAAAAGACTTGGCTCCTGGCTGAGGAGAGATACCCTATCTGATCCTGGCTTAACTCACCTAATAAACTCTCTAATTGGGAGTACTGTCTATGAGTTGTGTGGCCACTGTAACAAGCTATCAAACCCAGCATAGAAGTAGACAGTCGGAGGAATAAGGTTGGTGTTAAAATAGGAAAGCCAGAGATCAGATATGGCCACTTGCATGCCATTTAATATAAGAATACAACTAAGTTATAACCATATACCTTAAAATTATTAAACTATATTAACTATTACAAATGAAAATCTCCTATTACTAATTTTTAGCTATTTTCTCTGAAAATATTTCTGTGAGAACTCAGCAACCTTATTTAACCAAGCAACTTATTTTTCAATTTACTCTGATCTGATAGGATATAGTTTTAATTCTTTAGCATTAATTCCAAAGTCCAGATTCTAGAGGCCAACTATCTCAGCATCTTCATCTAAGTTAATAAACTTAACCGAGCTTATTTCTTATACTGTTATTTCTCTGACTTTATACATATTGTTCCTTAGTCTTCCTCTACAGAGTTCCACCCCATTCTTCTTTTTTTAAAAATTTTAATCATTTTATTAGGAGCTCATACAACTCTTATCACAATCCATACATCCATCAATTGTGTAAAGCACGTATGTACATTCATTGCCCTCATCATTCTCAAAACATTTGCTCTCCACTTAAGCCCCTGGCATCAGCTCATTTTCCCCCTCCCTCCCCGCTCCCCCCTCCCTCATGAACCCTTGATAATTTATAAATTA